TATATATATATATATATTATAATATTATTGTAATATTTATATAATATACTGTATACATCATGAATTATAGAAAAAAATCGATTGTTCAGTATCTGCAGTATAATTGAAAACTTAATTTTTGTCGATCTAAACTTTTTCACATTTCATATAATATAGTATTCACGTAGTGGACAGTTGAAAATATATGATACGTTTAATACCGATTTTTATCAACTACGAATGATGGTATATGAACCGTTGAATGATTAATTTAATTAACATTATAGATACGCCTTGATTCCAAACCGTTTAATTACTGCAAATACACATTTCTTCGACGAATAAAAAAGTTAAAACGTAACACATAATATATTTACATTGTGAGTAATTATGAATTAGAAAAAATATTACTGTTTAGCTAGTAAAATTAATTAATTTCAAGAGTACAGTTATTCAATTAAACGCCGTCTAAAAAAAAAAAAAAAAAAAGAAGATTACTGGTGGAAAATTATATCAGAATAAAGTTATCTGTAGTTTAAATTGTAAGTCGTTATAATTTCGATTCCTGCTAAAATTTAAAAACTATTTTATGCTACGGTGTACATTCCAAATAACAATCATTACATATACATAGACTACGCGTTTAATCTCTTTTTGCAAATCTTTAATGCGACGGGTGACATACGCATTTTTAATGAGCGTTTGTAACCTAATAAAAAATGGATTTAAATTGTCTTCTCGTTTGATTCTCGGATGTGTAATTCGTTTTATATTATCATAAAATTACGTGCCACGTGTATTTAATCGTAACTGTTATAAAGCCTTATTTGTTTTAGAATTACATAAGTATACTTATCAGATAGATCCGCGTATGTAATAACTCAATCCTGTACGTATATAACATAATATTATGCTGAGTCATAGTCGGTTCCGAAATGTCTGAATAGAACGTCCGTTTACTTTGAAGAGTGCATGGTTACAGACTAACAACATTTTCAACAGTCCCACGAAGCGAATTTCGAATCTGTTCGTCCATAATCTTTTGTTATGATATTAAAACATAGGTGTATTGAAAAAAATATAGCCACGAATGACTCCGTAGACTTGATCAGAATTCTAACTTGGTGGACATTTTGTCGTTATCGATAATAATATAATAAATGATATTTCCGTTGAAAAAAAAAACCAATCGAAAATAACTGAGTACGAAGAATTTTTCAAAAAGTTTTAAGATCACACATCATCGGCGTCATCGAATAAAATCTTAAAGTTAAAATTGACTTTCGAACGTGCAAAACGTGACTGAAATGATATATGATCCAAGAGGCAGTAACAGGTGAGGCAAGATGCTTTTGTGGTAGGGACAACGGACGTTTAAAATATTAGCGCGCAAACACATATGGAAAGATAATCGTAGGTATTGTTTTCTAGTAAATCAGCAAGAAAATCCGAGAAAATATGTTAACGCGTTTTTGGTACTTTCAGGACTGTATTTTCATCTAACAGATAACTGTCGACGGAAGGCGTACCGATGATATCGTACCCTCGATATTTTTATCGTGCATCGATTGGCGTCAGCGGAACGTCAGTCATGGCACCGCGACGAGGGGTTGTAATCCCTCCGCGAATAGCATCTAAACGGAAGATGCTCGCGGCAACGGTAGTACGACGGGCGAATAAAACAACATGCGCTCTTACCTTGACCTCGCGGTTGAACTGTTCGGTCAAGAAGCTGATGTTGGCCGGTGGCGGCTTGTTCTTGACGCTCGGGAACACCACGCCCCTGTTCTTCTGAGGAGCGTTCCGGGACGCCTGGAACTGTGACTGCTGGTCCGGTGACGGTGGTGCACCGGATGTGGGACCGGAGGAACCGCCGACGCTGGTGGACGGCGGCGTGGTGAACGACACGGAAGCGGCGGCCAAGGGCGTGGACTCGGACAGCTGCTCGTCGTACCTTGCGTACTCGTCGATGGTCGGGTCCAAGCGCAGCATCTCCGCAGGCACCGGCCGCTGGGCCAACGAGACCACGTCATCCTCCTGCTTCTTGAGCCTGCGCTCCACCACGTCCAGGTTGGCGATGATCTTGTTGGTGTTCATGCGCAGATCGTCGTGTATGTCGCTAATGGCTCGCTCCTGGCGCTGCGTCTGCGTGAGCAGCTCGTCCGACTTGGGCACCAGGTCATCCACCGAGCTCTTGGTGCCCACCACTACGTTCCACACCTCGTCCATCTTCTCGCTGACGCTCAGTATCGGGTGCATCTGCCTGACCAGCTGGTCGATCTTGTTGCTCCGTTCGGGAGCCGCCGTCGTGGTGCTCGTCCGGTTACCACCCGGCCGCCCGCGGCCGCCGTCCTGTTGCTCCACGATGGCGCCGTGCACGTCCGTCACCATGCCCATGATCTTGCCCAGTCCGTCGGATACCATGTTGATGTGGAACTGCAGCTTCCGGTCGATGCTGGCCGTGTTGCCCCGGATGGTGTCCAGCTGCGCGTTCAGCAGCTTCGACACGTCCGGCCCGGCGCCCTGGTGGTGGTGCAAATTCACTGGTTTCTTTTCGCTCGCCTCCGCGTTGATGTCGTCCGCGGGCCCCAGAAAATTGTTGTCCAGCTGGCTCTTCAGGCCCACCAGCTTCGTGTCGATGTCGCCCACCTTTCGGTCCAGTGTCGTCAAACGCGTCTCCAGGTGATGGCCTAGGGTGCCCGGCTCCTTCTGGAACAGCTTCGTGTCTAACGATCGCAGCTTACCGATCACTGATTCCGTCTTGTCGATGTTGTTGGTCACCCGCGAGTCCAGAGCTTCCACGCGGCGCATCAGGTGCTCCACGGCCTTGTCCAGGTTCTCTATTCGCTGGAGTTTCGTCTCCAGCGTGGACACGATCACTTCGAACACGTTGAACAGATATTGTTCCCTGAAGGAGAAAACAAAAAAAAAAACAATAACCGTACACGTTAGTTGGCTGGACGGTAAACACATCGAAAATAAAACATAAATATTAAAATGTAAAATTGATGTTTTAAATAATAACAATTATGATCGAACAAACACGCAGAGCAGCATACACGACTGAAGTGCTGCAAAACCAATTGTTAGGATGTAGAACGGATTACGATGACTCCGTGATATTATGTAGCACGTTTTTATTAAATTTTACGCCGTACCTAGATATTAATAATCGCTCAGCGTGTTCGCTGAAACAAATATGTTCCTGTTCTCAGGATAGATACTTTCTATTCGAAGGAGCACTATAGTGTCCTGCAACAATTCGTCGCTATATTTAATTACATTGTTATACGATTCTTAGCCGTAATTAGAACACGCATTTGTAGAATATATTTTAAAAGAGAAAATCTCCTTGACACCCAGTGGTTCCGAAAAGAACAAAATTAAGGGTCATTGTGTGTCAAGACCTATCGACATCGCAGACAAACGACACGTACGTTTGACAATAATTACACAACCGAAATGCATTGTGATACCAAAACTGTTTTTACGTGCGGTTTCTGCGTACATGCTCGTACAGACATATTCGTACATTCGTATATAGGTACACACGAAGAATAACCTAATTTTTTAGGCCTGCGTATGAAGTTGTGCGTCGTCTACGAGTATAAATAAATATTTATGTACGCAAGTGCGTGCGTGTGTGTGCGTATGTTTAGTGTACCCTTTGATACGATCATGACACACACACACACACACACACACACACACACACACACACACACACACACACATACACACACACATATACAGCGTGCAGCATTATGTTACATCGATCGGATCCTTCGTCGGTGCACACATGGACGGTGTTATGAATGGACGAACGTAGTATGTCTGCGTAGTAAACTAGTTTTTAATTCGCCACGATATTCTACGAGTTATATAACACGATGACGACGGTTGCCCTCGTGCACTTTTAACGACCTGCTGTGATATAATGCGATTTACGTCGTCTTCGGGAACCGTAGGCATAACAGCAGCGTGTATAATAACATGCGTGCGTGTTTGTGCGCGCGCGTACAATGAACAACTTTTTATCGGAATCGAAAGATCGATCTAAAACTATGGTATAGTAGCACTGCACGAGTATTGAATCGTTCGTTTTATCGATAACAAAGAAGAACGAAAGAAGTTTGGAAGTCGAACGAAAGCAATTCGAATAAATCGTACGAGCAACGTGTATATTGTACTGATTTTGACTGTGGTGAGATAGCGTTGATAAATTATAGTTTAACAATGGAATGATGATTGTCATTGTTCTCGGTATAACATCTACATTTATTTATTTTTGTTTATTAATTTAACGCGAAAACGTCACTTGATAAACGTAAAAATAATTGTTTTCCAAACACTGACGACGTCTAAAGCATTAGTGAAAACATACCCCAAGTGTGTATAACCAGTATAAAAATACAAGTACGTCGTAAATGGTGGACTGTAACATTCAAACAAGAATCATTTCCTTAGAAGAAGTATTATATTACAACTAAAGTAAACAATTTCTAGATTATAAATTGTCACCGTTCCTACCTAAAAAAAGAAAGTGTACCGAGTAACAAAAGAGAAAATTACAATCATTTTTAACAAATAATTTATAATTTGTAATACGGTTTTAATGATTATTAATATTATTATGATTTGCGGGAAGTACTCGTTCAATTATTGTAATAAATAAACAAAAGAAAATTAAAACCAATATACTTCTCTCACAATATTATCTTTGTCGATATTAATATTTATACTATGTGATTTAACTGTTTTGATTGAAATATTTTCTACATAATAACGAATAACAAACACGTAATATATTCAACTCATACGGTTCGAAAAAATAAACGGTGTAGAAATTGAATGCAATTTTCATCGGACCAAAGTCTATCAGTATATTGAACTTATAACAAATGGAGTTATCTTTTTAGTATAAATCATAATGTACATACTTTATACTTTGTATTTCACTCTAGCAAAACGTATTCGATAAGAGTACGTGCATGTTTCTATTATCGATTATAAGATTCGGTACATTTTAGAAACGAATAACACGCACCATTACATTTTAGCCGCGCCCTGCACGTTCCTATTACGCCCCCAGAGTTTTTTCTTTTTCTTATTTGTCGGCAATTTCCAAACGTTATTTCTAATCCGACCCGCAATTGCAGCAGATTAGATCATCATTGTTTAGAATACATCTAACATTCCGTACATATTGCGCGTTTTAACAGAGACTCGTCGAAATCAAATTTCCCATACCACGATTATTACGATTATTACAATTATTATTATTATTATTATCGTACATTCGTTGACTTTGTTTAGTCGTCGTCGTTCTCTGTGATGTGGCAAGTTTGCCGTCCATTCCAGTTTCATCCGGAAATGCGGTAATCTCGCGGCGATATAACAAAACGCTTATAAACTCGATCTGTATTCGTGTGCGGCACGCACTGCTACTGTTATAGTATATGTATACGTCTTATGGGCGTATGCACACGTGCATTAGTCCGTTGTATATCAGTGGTGTATTATTTTTACAGTCGAATATCAAAAACGAAAGAAAATCCGTAGGCCGTGCGCACATGAGTATGTAATAATTCGTCATGGCGTTAATGTCATGTACTCGTAGATCAACGATTCTCGACCTGTGATACGCGTACCACTAACGGTACACGTAAAGCTCATAGGTGGTACGTGAAGGAAATCTCCTTTTATAAAAAGTCTTATTACATCTGACTGATATTGATGAAGTCCAAATTATTTTGTGATGACAAATAGCTATCAAGCATAGCGTAAAAGGCTAACATATTTGACCGTTTAAATGTTCTACGCATGAGGCACCAAGGCTCAAAGATATTTTATGCTAGCGATAAAATTAATGCATTCGTGAGAATGTTGGATTTATTTAATTCGCGAATATCTGAGAATCATTTTTCAGCATTCGAGACACTAAACAGCGTCTCTGCTCTAAAAACTGCTTTCAAAACCAAAACGACCTCAAATTTTTCGCTGGACGTGAAACAAGAATAACCGTCGTTATCCTCACAAGTTTTACAGTTTCAAATAATTTTTGTGTCAACATATCTGTGCGAAAAATACATTTCCTCACTTATCGCACACAAAAAACAAATATAGAGATAGATCGAACGCATGAAGTGATTTGAGATTAAAAGTTATCAACACGGAGCCCCCGATATGGAACATCGCCGTTCACTCGAAATAACACCGACCGTCATCGGAGTAAACCGTAATAACTATAATAATAATTATAGTAACGGAATATTTTCAATCGTCTCTTTGTGCACTGAACACTCTTACACGGTGATACTGTCATAATTTTTCTTGGTCCTAGTAGAACAAAATTCCATACGTGCAAGACGACGTATATATTTTCTATAAAAAAAAAAAAAAAAAAAAAAAAAAAAAAAACATAATCAAGTCGGGTGGTACGCGAATGCGAAACGTTTGAGAACCGCTGACGTGGACTGTACAACGTGCGTTGATTATTTCAATGCACAGCGTTAAAGTCTTCCCGCGGACGCGCGCGCGTGCGGTAGGTTTCGGCGAAAGAGTTTTCGGATGGCATAATAGCACGCGAAACTGGTCTGTCCCCGGGGGCTGTGGCGTGTAACCAGCGACGCGCGCACACGTGTATTACAGCGGGACACGGGTACCTGTGCAACGGTAATAATACGCGACCGATTGTCGGACGGATAAGGCGCGCGGAGACGGATTGCGTGCGCACGCGAACCGTCGTAACGGAGACACGGGTACCGATGTACATGCGTGTACGTGAATATGCATATTATGGCGAGGGGAAAATAAAAGCGGTTGATAAATTGATAAATAATAAAAATTGTCGTGTTAAACGCGAAATACGATCGGGCGACTCCGCCCGAACTTGTTCCGCCGCCGCGTGTTGCGCTATTAAAAACGTATCATCTGATGCAATTAATCCGCGTTCGTATACGGTACACTTATCTTGACGGTATAACGATACGCCACTTCCAATACAGCTGCTCGTACGCGCACCGTTTACCTTACTATAGCTGCGACGGCACCGAATCCACCACTTGTGTACGTGTGCACGAGCGTTTTCCGACGGGATGGAAAAGGTTCGGCCCTTCGTACACGAAGGGTGATATTTGGTGTAGCTTTAACGGTAACAACCGTAAGTACCGTTCGTTCAATCGTTCCATCCACTCAAATGTCGAAAAACCAAATTTTATCTTATTTTTTACGTACCCTTAGGGAACACGTATACAATTTGATCTAAGCTTATAGCTGTTGCATACGTAAACCATCGAAGTAGATACTACTAATGCTTATTGGTCGTACGAAAATATAGAAATATTAAGATCTTCAGTCGTAGTATACGTAACACGATAACACGGAATCGAAATACAAAGAAAATGCCAAATTTTAGAAGGTAAAACTTGTGAATCATCTCTTTATATTTTTTCTCTGACCATTCTGTAAAGATCACCGTTTAATCTTTGGATTTGCATCGAATGTGATCTTGATAATATAAGTGTATAAGGTGTCAATTATTAATATTAAAATTATTAATAGTAGCTTTAATAAAGTACGCTATAAATAGTTTTAATTTCGTTTTAAGTGTCCTTCTAAAATACATAATGTTTGAACAAAGTTACGAAAAAGTATAGTATTTAAATAATTTTAACATGAAATGCAAGTAAAAAATACAATTAATTTATACACAATACATTATGGTTTATCCATATTGATGGAGAGCCTGACAAATAGTTACAAACGATTGATTTCATAGTATATTATATAGCTAATTAATGTTGATGAAAACTATTTACATGTATAAATAAGAAAAGAAAAATATTATTTTAATTTAATAGAAGTATGTAAGTATATAAAATATGATCTAAAAATTCAAAAGAAAAT